AAGTCTAATTCAGAGAATAATCCAGGATTCAAATACCAATAACTCCTTCTCAAATTGAAAAAAGAAAAACAAAACAAAAACAACCCGACAACTCAACCTTGAACTGGAACAGTATGTGTGCAACAATTAAACTGTTGTCACAAAACTGTTTTCAATCCTACTTCAAACTTGCCATATGGATTAATCGGCAGTTAGAAGCAGCTGCAGCACAATGTTCTGTGCACTTCTGTTGCCGTTTTCATTTTTAAAAAGCAAATGGAGAGGCCTCTCCACAAAATTCAATGCTGCAATAGCAGTGACTGAACCAGAATCAGAAAATTATGAACAGCTCACTAAACTGTCTTTTAGAAGCACATATCAAGAGGCTGCAGAACAAATTGTGTGCCTGAAATAATAGATCAATGAATGAAGAATAAAGAGATCTAAGAAGTGGAGATGTTGACGAACCATTTTAATTTGTGAAGAATCAATTTCCATACAACCAGAGTAATGGCAGAACATCACAGGCAGAGTATTCATGATTTTAACAGCAAAAAATCATTGATTACCAAATGGAAATTTATTAATGTTCCAAGAAAGAGAAAATGATGCTGCAACGAGGCCAGGAACTACATCCACTCTTTAAATGAGTAATATGCAGTAAAAGGAGTCCACAGTGTATATCTACAATAAAAAAAAAAAGCCTTGAGCAGAGTAAGTAAATCCTCTTAAAAATGAGAAAGCAAGCAAACAATGACTGAACTAAGTATGGGAACAATGGCCACATTGTTTGTATAAAAATTGGAATACGAAAAACAAATATGAAATACACATTCATTTAAAAAAGAATTTCTTTTCAATAAATATAAGAAATGAATATTTAGAATGTTTTGTCTGAAGTCTAGCTACTTTCTCTTCTCTTTTTATGTTCAACCACATAAATATTCAGCCACAAGTACATGTGAGAGAATTCCTAAAGCCAGAGGATGGATGATGTTTCAAAGGAAAGCCCTAAGGTCACATTTTACTACACCACCTTACGAAGAATATGAGCCGCTGCTTCCTAAGCCACCACAGTTTGCTGAACATATCTTGCTTAGACTACAAAATGGTGAATCATAGGGTAATATACTTCTTCAGTTCTATTCAACATCTGCATAACTGGCCCACCAACCCATGGCACAAGAGAAGATTTTATGCATGCAAATGAACAACAGACTTTTGCCCAACCATGGGTTTTGTCAGTCAGTATCCCCTGAATTCTTAGATAACTATATAAACGCTCACTGTGCCAAAAAACAGATGATGAAGCATTTGAACATTTCTGGCTTGTATGAAGAACAAGCATGCAGCAGTAGCAAAGAGAGATCTTTCAGAGATACTTCACAGAGCCAAGTGACTTGCTATATATGATCATTCTGAACTGTTTACTTTTTCTTGGGGCTGAACTGAGGTTATCTTTTTTTCTGTACAAAGAAACAGTGGTCAAACCAGTGAAATATCTGGAAAAGGTCTCTCGGGCAATTCTAGAGAAGTACAAATCACTGCAGCATTTTGGGACCAGGGCTATGGCTACCAAGTCTTGTTCTACTCTATCTAGTACCTTAAAGGGAAAGAAGTCTCTGGATCTGATGACAGTACAACAGACCCTATGGTTACACTAACTCCTGAAAAAGACTCTGTGGTTGCTTCAGCACCTGCAACAGGTCCTGCAATTCAATCAAAGAATCTTTGGCAGTAGCAGTCACCTCCATACACACACACACACACACACACACACACACAAAAAGCTGTAAAAGTCAGCTTGCTTAGTAAGGACAGAAACTCCTGCTAAAACTAGGTTGGAAGATGATGAGAATGAATCAGGGCCATCTCAAGGATGGGAGGAGGAGTCGTCAGAACTCAAAACCACCTGATCCCCAACTCTCAGTGAGCTGCAAGACATACAAAAAGTCTTCAGACATAACCCAGATGAACATATTGTCAATTGGTTGCTCCAAAGCCGGGATAACAAGTCCAGTAGCCTGGACTTAGTGGGCAGTGAATCCAGGCAGTTGGAATCCCCTTTTAGGGAACAGGGTATTGGCAAAGCAATTGGAGAAAGGACATTAGCCTTCATCCTATGAAATTTACTGTTTTCAGCCATGAAGGAAAGATATCCCTTCAAGGAAGATCTGGTATGTTTCCCAAGTAAGCAGACCTGTTCCAAGAGCTCCATGTCTTTCTTGTACTGGGGGCTGCAGGCCTGGTTGCAATATTGCAGATGAGGCCTTACAAGCACTGAGTAGAGGGGCCTCTCCCTGCTGGTCACTCCTATTTTAACGTAGTCCAGAACACAGTTGGCCTTCCGGGTTGCAAGTGCACACTGCTGGCTCATGCTCAGTTTCCTGCCTACCAGGACCCCCAAGTCCTTCTCTACCTTCTCTGTGCATCTGGATGGCTTCCCTTCTCTCCACTGTATTGACTGCACCACTGAGCTTGGTGGCATCTGCAAACTTGCTGAGGGTGCACTTGATGACATCATCTGTATCACTGATAAAGATGCTGAAGAGCACTGGTCCCAAGACCAACCTCTGAGGGTCTCCACCCTGACACAGAACCATTAAGCGCAACCCTTTGGCTGTGATGAGCCAACCAATGCTTCGTCCACCGAGCGGTCCATCATTTAAATCCACACCTCTCCAATATACAGGGAAGGATGTGGTGAGGGACCATGTCAAAGGCTTCACAGAAGTCCTGGAAGATGACATCCGTCACCCTTCCCCCATCCATTGAAGCCGTCACTCCATCATAGAAGGCCACCAGACTGGTCAGGCACGATCTGCTCTTGGTGAAGCTGTGCTGGCTGTCTCAGATCATTTCTTTGTTTTGTATTTAACATTTAACATTTGCTTTAACATAGCTTCTAGGAGAATATGCCCCACAATCTTCCCAAGCACAGAGGTGAGGCTCACTGGCCTGTAGTTCCCTGGGTCTTCATTTCTTCTTTCTTAAAAATGGGAGTATCGTTTCCCTTTTTCCAGTCATCCGGGACTTCATGGAACAGCCACGATTTTTCAATTATGATGTGGCTCAGCAAGCACATCAGCCGTCTCTCTCAGCACCCTAAGATGGATATCATCTGGCTATATGGACTTACTTATATACATTCAATTGCATGAGGAGGTGTTGGACATGTTCTACCATTACAGTGGGACAGAATCTGCTCTCCACACCCTAGAGGCTCAGGGTCCTGGCAGACATGGGAAGCCTGACCACCCATGAAGACTGAGATAAAGCACTCACTGAGTACCTCAGCTTTTTCTACATCTGAGGAAGCCAGCTCCCCATTACCTTTCATCAGAGGGGGAACACTGTCCTTGGCCAATCTCCTCCTGCCTATTTACCTATAGAACTTCCTCCTGCCTATTTACCTATAGAACTCCCTGTTATCTCTCACATCCCTCGCCAAGTTCAGCTCCATCTGTGCCTTGGCTTTCCTAATCCTATCTCTACACACACGGACAACAGCCCTGTATTCCTCCCAGGCTACACAGCCCTGCTTCCACTTCCTGTACACTTTCCTCTTTTCCTTGCAGGTCCTAGCGGAACCTTTTCAGAGATAGTTCACGAAGTAGCTTTTGGGCCAGTCGGGGAAGGACAAGATGTAAAAAACATGTTTACAGCTGGCAAGAATGGCCCCAGTTGAAGCATCTGACAGAAAGCAGCAGTGGAGAGTCAAGGTTGACTCCTAGGGTTTTTTGAACTGGGGATACAGAGGAACTTCCAGAGAATGATAAGCAACATGCCTTGTTCACTTCAGGTTCCTATCGTATTGCAGGAAAGCGTCAGAGGTAGAAGGCTGCTGCATGGAGCCCTACATGACAAGATGAAACTGGCTACTGTGGCCTGAATTAAGCAAGGTGTTATTCCATACCACATAACATCACATGGAAGGCTACGATTATTAACTATTTCCAATTCTTTCCACCATTCCACTTGGAGGGGAAGCGAGTGAACAGATGTGTGGCGCTCAGATGCATGCCAGGTAACTCTTCAGTAGCTAAGGAAGCAACGAAGACAAAACATCTAATACATGCAGGAATACATGAGTTTAATCTTTACTAAAACCGTTACACTAATGAAAGCAGATAAGCCATGAGGCACAGGAAGATTATGAATGACATGCCATGTTTCCATGGCAACATTATAAAGCCCCTCTTAGAAAAATACTCAACTTTGATGGTTTTGGGTGCAGAACTGCACACTCCCTTCCCTTAGGTTTCAATGTAAGCAGCAATGCTACCTTTAGAGAATAGCTGAAACTGTTCTTTCCATTGGGCTTAGAGGTTATGACTGTGCAACACACTATTTCGCATTGTCTGAGAATGACAATTTCATCTGTTCTTCTCAAACTGGTGCTAAAACTCCTAAAACATTATCAAATGAACTGGTAGAAACTGGAGTCATTTTCACACTGAAGAGTAACTGTATATGCTCTATTGTTTTTACGTCTATTACATCCACACCACCTCTACAGAAAGCCCAAGGAAATACTAGTAGCATCCAAATATCTAGTAGATAGCCACATATTTTGTTAATTAATCAAGCTTTCAAAACTCTACTTCACTTAGAGGCTTTCAGTATCTCCTAGAAATGAGAGAAGACCAACCAATTCATCCTTAGCTAGAAAGGACAGTGCGCCAGTTTTGCACCACTGGTTCACCTGAAGGAGAAGAAAGATAAATAACCACATAACATAATATTTTGTGACTTGCTTAATCACACTGGTGTTCTAGATTGAACACATACTGAAGTCGAATTGTAGTCTTACTTGCATCTTAAGCCACAGAGTAATAATGATATTACTGTTGCATTAGCAGGCAACTAAATCTGAAATAGCTTTTATTAAATGACTGCAGCCTCACTAGGTATTTCTTAAAATATTTATAATTAAAAGCATCATTCTATAGAGAAAAACAATAAAAACACAGAGCACACTAATACATATATGCATACATGCAGATACACAATTTACATACCTCTCCAAGAGCTTCATAGCGCTTCTGGTTCCATCTATGCAAGTCTTCACGATAATTAAATACAAATGGTTCCCCAGTTTTTGCATGTCTTAATTGCCCTTCTGAAAAAGAAACAATATCACTACATTTTAGAGTAGTTCTTCACTAAAAATAAAATACACTGCATTGCTGAAAATTGCATAAATCTAATATTTAAAAGACTGGATATTATGAATTCCTTCTTCTTTTCCTATGTCTGAGGAAGCCAGTTCCCCATTACCTTTCATCACAGGGAGAACTCTCTGTGGCCAGTCTCTTCCTGCCCATTTATCTGTAGAACCCAATCCAAAGATATAATATACAAGTGATGACAGTGAAATTACATGCAGGTATCAAGTGTCACAGTGTTTTGCAAGAAATATTTAAGACTCAACCTGTTGTGGATGAGGAGTGAAATATAAACATTTACAGATCAAATACTTCTCACCATATCAGCTAGGTGATCAAATTGTAGCTACAAATTGCCTACCTCAAAACCAGTCGTATTTCTAAAGACATGTAAGAACAAATTGGACTAATGATTGCAAGGAAACATTTACTTTCAAAATTAACATATCACAGAATCACAAAATTGTCAGGGTTTAAAGGGACCTCTAAAGATCATTGAGACCAACCCCCCTATAAAGCAGGCCCCTACAGGAGACTGCACAGGTAGGCGCCCAGGTAGGTCTTGAATATCTCCAGAGAAGGAGACTCCACAACCTCCCTGGGCAGCCTGTTCCAGTGCTCCATCATCCTCACTGTGAAGAAGTTCCTTTGCATACTGGATGGAACTTCCTATGCCCAAGTCTGTGGCAATAAAACATTTCTGGTTAATCTGAAAAAAACCCCAAAAAACAGAAAAAGGACTCTTGTCCACAATTAAGGTAAGGATTTTATTCCCGACACAGTACCAACAATTAGGACATCTTTATTAGCATACTGAAATTATAACAGTAGAATAAAGCAGAATCCTCAACCACAGCAAAACCACTCCCAAATTTGCAGAAAGTTACATTCCAGTGTGACTTTCTGCAATTGTCCTTCTTTATAGAAAAAGTTTAGTAGCACATCTGACCACAGATAAAGACTCTGCCTGCTTTGAAATAACAAGAATAAAATGGCAACCAATCAGGAATTAAGTTACAGAAATGTTATCTTACTAGCAGTACTTCAGCTGATTAGAAAAAATCTCAAGTTATCTCAGAGCATTGTAAAATTGCAGAAAATCAGAGAAATGTTTAAAAAAAAAAAGTGCAAGTATATCCTAGAAAGCTGAAATGTCTAGGCAACGAAAATAAGATTTAACAACAAAATGTTTTAAACTGCTAAATCAGTTCATACATTTTCAAAGCTTTTGAATGTTGATTCCTGCTGCTTTAAATGATATATTTAAGGGCTAATATCTCTTAAGATTTCTGCCTATAAGTCTGTTTATTTGGCATTTTTTCCAAATCTGTCTTGCCCAATGTCCAGATCATTTTCCATGCACTAGTCTCCAAGGGAATATTTCTACCCAATGTCATATCCCTGTCTTGGGTAAAATATCCTTTCTGTATTTTCTTTGTGACTCATCACTCAGCTGTTCATTTTCAGCTGATTATTCTTCAGTTATACTGTTCAATTCTAAATGCAATAGTGCTCTCCGTAAGTAAGCTGGAATTTTTATTTTTTTGTTTTTCTTTCTGGTGCTCTTGTTCTCTCAAGATCCTCTCAATCTCATAAACATCATCTCTATTTCTCCCATCATAAAAAAAACCCAACTGTTTATAATTAAAAAGTATAAGACAAAACATGTTTATTACTTGTATAAAAGCAAAAGAGAGATCTTTTTCACCATACTGACCAGCAGAGTATGTAACAGTGTTTGCTACATTCTCTGGAAATCACTCAGCCTGTAAAGTTAGTGATGGAATATTCAGTAACATTATTTTAGAACATCATTCGCCAAAATTCAAATTTCAGCTCTTTTTATCAACCATATACGAACCATTAACTCTGAAGTCAGTAAGGAAGACAGTAGACACTGTGCAGATCTAAAAATAAGGAGCTGAAAAGTGACAGAGCTGAACCCCTCCCATCAAAGACAGAGCATCACTTTCATGACACTTTTAGTCTCTAAGTACCTTCCTGTGAAAGCCATCAGGGTATTAAAAAGCTAAGTGTTGCATAAATGACTATCATTTAAAGGAAAGCTCTTTTTTCCTTTAAAAGTGGAAGATGTAAGACAGGCAGATTTAGAAACTAAAGTTCCTCTGTTCACAGAACAGGCACTGCAAAGAAGTAGAATTGTAAATGTCCCCATTTGTCCTACAGGTTTCAAACAATCTTGAAAGAGCCCTTTTCCTGGAGTCTGGTATTACTTTAGCTCAGTGGCTTATCTCTCAGCTGGATTTCAAAATGTATGCACTGGAAATCATAAATACTAGTGCTCATTTTACATATAGATTCAGCTAGCTAATCTGACTTTCAGTCACAGACATTATCTGTAATGCAAAACCTTGACCTACAGAAGAGCCAACCTATCACACTGCTCATTTGCCAGTCACTATAAATATATGTGTTTTCCTATTGGTTTTAGTAAAATATCTGGAATAAGTTATCATATAAATAATCCCTATTCCCCTTGGATCAATAGAAATCCCTCAGTTTCTTAAATGAGTGACCACTCTTTTACTTTTCAGTGTGAATGCTAAAGAAACTATTTTCAGAACTTCTGCACTAACATTTCCACAACAGAAAACGGAAACCATACAGTACACACAGTACAACCCTCAAACCTACAGTACTGTAGAAATTGAGAAATTTGTTGGTAGTTTCATGATATTAAAAAAAAATATATATCTATTACTTAGTTAGATTTACAAGGCTGTTATCCTAAAGCTTAAAATTTTATTCTTAAAAGAAAACTGTAAAATTCTAATGATTTATAATGTATAATTAAACTGCTGATAACCCCTCAACATAATTTTAAGGATAGCATGTATGACTTACTTTCATTAAAAGTGTACTCAAATCCTTCCAGAGTATCAGGAAATTCAAGTGGTGGTTCATCTTTTTTCATCAGTTCATCCAAGTCTATTCTAGACAATAAATCTAAAAAAGGAAAAGAAAAATTACATAATACATGCTATGTCTTCTTTAGTTATAATCACTGAAAAAATCAGTTTATTAAGATTAGTAGTTCTTAAAGACAGAAGGACAACCTACATAATATGAAATATACAACTTCATTATTCGAAATTTTCCTCCAGCTTCAATACCTCTGCCTCCTCTACAGAAAAGTTATTTATTTATTTACCTGACTATCACTAATGTCAAGCAAAAAATGTCCAGAAACAGACACCAAAGACACAGCAATTTGTTTCAATGATTTGATACACTTAATTTTAGAAATGTCTTTGGTTTCTAGTATGCATCAGATTTTTACCATTAATTTATCCAGTTTCAGAATCATGGCATTGATACATTCCCATTTGCCTGCTTGAAGAGTTCATATTATCAAACGTACGCTGTCTCACAGCCATTTACGAGCTGCAATTACAACTCTTGTTACCCCTCCCTTTCACACCCCAACAGACTGTGCAGTCTGAATCCTTCTCTTGACCATGATCTTTTAATAATTCCCAAGGCAAAGAAAATGATCATCAATTTAATAGCAAGCCATGATATGTACATTCTTTTCAGATTCCTTGTTTTCTAAGACAATATATCCTGATACAGGATATATCATACATTATTATTTCATACATTAATGAAAGAATGCAAAAATAAATCCAACTTGCATACTTCAACTCTATATTTAAGGATTTAGAATAACCAGCAGCAAGAATATAGGAACATCTTTTGCTTACTTCTAAGATATTATTGCATAAAAATAGTAGTGCACTATCATCTCCTCACTGCTCATCATGTACACAAATACTATCCTTTTAACATACTTTCTGATCATTAAAATATGATGATTAATAAAATATTAGCACAAAATAATTGAGCAAGATTTCACTGAAAAGCATTTCCCTACTTTTTCCATACATGATTTTGAAAACCACGCAAATATTCAGTTCAGAAGTGCTATATTGATTTTGTACTATTATAATTCCAAATATTACCAGTGAAATGCCTTAAGAATTCTAATTACATTTATTACCTTTACCATCTAAATTCATATCTCAAAGAAAATACAACCGTTTCGAAAGGCTCAATTTCTTTAAACTTGCTTTGTTTGACATTGACCACTCTTATATCTCTTAATAATTCTAAATAATTATTTAAGGTAGTCTCTTTTTTTATTAGTCTTGCAGTCAGTAATGATCTTCTAAGTCCCCCACATTATCTAAGCCTAGCATTGACACACTGGGCAAGGGAAGTGTCCCCCTCTGCCCTTATGAGGCTCTATCTGCAGTACTGGGTTCAGTCCTGGGGCCTCTACCAAAAGAATGATGTAAAGGTATTAAGAGTGGGTCCAGAGGAGGGCCACAAGGATGATCAGAGGGCTGGACCACCTCTTCTATAAGGAAAGGTTAAGGAAGTTGGGTTTGTTCAGTCTGGACAAGGCTCCAGAGAGAACTCACTGCGGCCTTCAGTACTGGAGGTGAACTTATAAGCAGGAGGAGGAATAACTTTTTATGTGATCTGACTGTGATAGGACAAGGAAGAATAACTATAAAATAAAAGTGGGGCAATTTAAATTAAACATCAGGAGAATTTTCACTCAGAACGTGGCGAGGCCCTGGCACAGCTGCCCAGAGAAGCTGTGGTGCCCCATCCCTGGAGGCGCTCAAGGCCAGGTTGGATGGGGCCCTGGGCAGCTGAGCTGGCGGAGGGCAGCCCTGCCCACAGCACAGGTGCTGGAATTGGGTGGGCTTTAATGTCCCTTTCAACCTGAGCCATTCTATGATCCTATGAAAACTGCCTTCAACTGTCTTGAATTCTAAGTGAATAACCCAAGGAACTATCTTCAGGTGATCTGACATTCATTCCAGCCTCCATACAACTATTTCCAGCTCCTCCTTCCCTAAATGATTTCACTGGATAAAGCTGGAGAACCCTTGTAACTCTAACATCTCTCAAACTGATATTGTGGTGCCTGAGTACCACTGTGATATCTAAATGGCTAGGAGATTTCTAAATGCAGCTTTTAAAAACCATAGCTCACTTTTTCATCAAATCTGTTTCATCTACCATGGGACAGGAAGTCCCACGGCATTCCATTTACATAATCAATCTTAAGCTTGCTCTTCTGGATTGTCCTTTGAAAGTTCTTAGCAAGTCACTCTGGTTCTCAACCAAATAATAAAATGATAAAGAAGAAAAAAAAAACAGTAAGTTAGTCAAACAGGTTTTTTTTTGCTATAGGATACAAAAAGCACTCCCTTTCTTCCTCTGTATTTTCACAGTGTAAAGATAACCAAAATAGTCATTAGCACTTCACCTGTTCTTAGGGAAGAGACTCCAGACACACCTGTACAATTTAAATGCACCAAAATTTTCATGTCTTCTTGCTTGGAAACGTGCTTACAAAGAAGTGTCAGTTACTATATGTAAAGAACTCAGCTCTTGAGTAGCAAGAACAGTATTATATAGGTTGATCTGAAAAGTAATGCCTCCTATTTATTTCCATGGAAACTACAACAGATACAAAGAACACAATAATACTATTCGATAAGACCAAATTCTCAGCTACAAAACACATTTTTCAACATAGTCATCACCAGCAGCTATGCTTTTTTGAAAGCAATGAACAAGAGCCTACAAGCCCCACTCATAAAAATCTGTTCCAGTGAAGTTGACTTGGTGTTTCACAGCTGATACAGTGGCATCATTGACAGGAAAATGTCACCCATGCAGTTCATCTTTCACTGCCCCAAACAGCTGGAAGTCAGAAGGTGCATATTTGTCCTATACAGTAGGTGTGGTGTGTCAGTCCAGCCAAAATTGGCGATATGCTCTACAGTCTTCAAATTGGTACAGGGCCTTACATGGTCATATTGGAAGAGAATGGTTGTCTTCTTCTCAGGTATGATTCTGGAAGTCCAAGCCTTTATTTTAGTGTTGCATCTTGACACTGCTAATGACGTGTTCCAGGAACCTGTCACTTTCAGTCTCATGTGGATCCCCCCATCCCCAGGCTGGATGTGGCTCTGGGCAGCCTGGTCTAGCGGCTGGAGGCCCTGCATGCAGCAGGGGGGTTGAAACTAGATGATTCTTGAGGTCCTTTTCAACCCAGGCCATTCTATGGTTCTATGATCTGGGTTCAATAGATGCTGACACTGCGTCCTTTCTGTTCTTATGTGAGCATTCCTGGAATGCACATTGTGCAAACTTTGCAGTATTCCATTGTTTACAATGAACTGCAGCCAATACTCAGCTCTTTACAAAGGTCCTTGCTTACAGTCCACTGACTTATGTGGATGAGCTATCAAGCTTCATTTCATGGCATGACAGTTGTGTGTGGTCAACAGAAACATTGCTTGTCTTTCATGCCATTGCTGCTGCTGCTGAAACATACCATCCACCACCTCACTATGCTCACATCCACTACTTGGACCCCATCAACATTCAGCAAATGTTAATGAATGTCAATGACTGCCATTTTTTCAGCATGGAGGAATTCAGTGATGCTCCTTTACTCCATATGCCCTTCAAAGCCAGACACCATTTTATCAGACTGCCGTTCTGCTGCCATCCGTCACATGGCAGCAACATGTAAAGGAATATCAATAGGAAGGTTCAATCACTACTATCATAACACCAACATTCACCTCTGACATCATGGTCAACACAATAAACTATGAGGCATTACTTTCTGAGCAGCCCTTGTAAATGAAATACATGAAGCTTACCTTCAGTATTTAAAGCAGCTCTTGATTTACACCTACAATCTGAGCCTTACAGGAAGACTTCAGTTGGCCAGTGTTCCAAACACTGAACCACTCACCTTCCTGTGTCATTCCTCCTCTCACAGCTAGATAAAGTGTGCTAGCAAATTCTTAGATCCTTTCAAAATCTGATCAATCGTTCTTTCACTCTCAAATTCAATTATAGTTGGGTTCAACAGAGCTCAAATTTAAGTGATTTGCAGGGGTCTTTCTTTCTATAGCTTAGTAGGAGTTCACCAGGTCACATGAAGAAAATCACACCCTCCCACTAAGTTTAAATTTTTAATTATCAGTCATTTCTTAAGGCACTTAAGGGGAATAGCTTTAAACTAAAAGAAATGGGATTTATGTTAGATGTTAGGAAGAATTTTTTTTACTCAGAAGGTGGTGTGGCACTGACTGACCAGAGAATCTGTAGATGCCCCATCCCCGGAGATGTTGCGCGCCTGGCTGGATGATATCCTGGGCAGCCAGATATAGCGGCTGTCACACTTGCCCACAGCAGGAAGTTGGAACTAGATTAACCTTAATGTCTCCTTTAATCTAAGCCATTCCCTGACTCTGATTTTTGTGTAATAATCCTTAATAGACAATCAAATTAATGTCAAGTTTAAAATTGAGGTTTTACTTTTCCAAACATTAAGCAAAATTGAGCATATGTTCAACAAAATTAGTACAGATTTGAATAAAGTAACACACAGGTTTTCACCAAGCCTTTCTCAAATACACAATTTTAAATTAAGAAACACTATCTACTATCACTGTATAACAGAAGATGCATTTCTAATAACATATTTATGCAAGTCCAATTCTCTAAAAATGTTATCGATTGCACTTATTCTTCCCCTTATGAAATTTACTACCTAAATCACTAGGATTGTGTAATTTTTTTTTCCCAAGCATAAAATACAAAGAAAATTCTTCAAAATCAGTACAGATATAAATGTCCTGAAAATGGTTTCCCTGCTAACATACCAGAGTTAAAGGGATTTTTAAAAGCTGTAATACGGATAGTTAATTCTAAAACATAAGTGGCACAAAAATTAAATTATACCTTCCAGAAAATAAGATCACAGAAGTACCAAAGGATAATTATGAAAATTATAAAATTAATGGATTTCTTACTCTGCTACTGCTTACCACAGACCATTATTTTTAAGTCATCTTATAAAACTATTGAAAACGGACATTACACATACAGTCTAATCGTCTCGTCCAGTACTGCAATTCCGAGATTCTAACCCACAGCAAGATCAAAGTACTTTCCCTTCCTTAATATTAATAACTGTTTCTGAAAATTCTGTATACGTGAAAAGAAGGCAAAAGTATTCATACCCTTTAATGCAGTAGTCTTTTCTTTTTCATCAGGGACTCCTTGCTGGAGTTGAGCCATCATTACCCAAGCTGTCAGCAGATTTAAAATACTAAAATATAAGTGCATCTATCTTCAAATGACAATCTGAAAATCAACAAGTTAAACATTAACAAATTTGACTTCTATTTCAAGGGATCTTATTTGTTAACACATATACAAACAGAACTGCATATAAAACAGAACTCGTTTCAAAAACAAAGCTTCCTGAGTATAAATGCCAGTATATATATACACCAAAGCTGAGTACAAATACCAGTATATTAAATAAAATTTAAATTGACTCTTTCCTCTTTTCAAAACGTATACTTGACACAGTAGAGTCTCATCACGCTATCACAGATTTAGAGGTTTCACAATGTAGTGTAACACAAACTCCTCTATCATGTGGGGTCAAAGATCAAAATTCACAAGAATAAATACTAACTTCTCCCTAATACTGAAGGGACATTGATTTATTCAACAGTCATTTATTGCAAATCTAACATAAGATTAGTAAATGATTAGCTTTTTGGAGAAGCACGACACTTGAAAGACACTTGAAACCAAACATAATTAACTGAACTTCCAAAATCTCCACAGATTTTTCAACTTCAATTACTTAGATTTAATTATTCTTGCTGTATCATATAGCTTTCAGTTTTTACTAAAGTTATAATAAGGAGTACATAGCTCAAAACCATTATCTCCACTGAAATTTATCCAGTAAATGTCCAGGTACAGACTAGGTGTCAGTATCCATACAAAACATATGTCTACATTTTTCCCTATTGCACAGAAGGCAACCCAGACATTCAAATCTGCAATCCCTTTCATCTTGAATCTGACACTAAGGGAGCAAACTACCAAATCACAATCATTGCTTCTCCCTTTTCAATAAAAAGACTTCTATGTATTGAGTCCTTTTTTTCTTCATCCTTTTAGTTGTTTCATCTGTCAGTCATGAACAATTTGTTTAACTCTTCTTCACAATATATACTTCATCATGGACAAATCTGCATGAAGTGCATCCCTGTAGCAACCTGCAACTTCTAAACAAAGAGCAATACAATATACCCAGTGTACTGCTGCTACCTAAGAGTTGCAGCCATAAAGAATTCCAAAATGGTTTTTAAGTAGTTCACTGTAAGAACAGCAGAGGAAAAAAAAAAAAACAATAACAACAACAAAAAAATTGATAAGGACACAGAGTGGCAGAGAATGAGAGCATTTTTTTCTTCACAGAAATTACTACATTAAATTAGAGAAATATTACCCAAAATATTTTCTCGTAGATTAAGGAAAAAAATAACATAAATAACTGATAGTTATTAACTAAGGAGATTTTTTTTTCTTTTAAGTTACTGTTCAAGACAGTTTAACAATTTATTTTAAAAGTTTGGCCTAGGTTAGCCTTTGATGCCTTCCTTGGTGGTTCTAACCAAGCTGCTGTGAAATGAGAATGCATTGTCCAAGTCTCTTAGAAACATAATTCAACCAGAAAACTTCTGCTTTGATTATGCACTCTAAAAAAAAAAAAAAAAAAGGTACAACTTCACACGATTAAGTTAAAATGGCCATCTCATAGCTAACACTTTAATCATGTTAGCAGTGACAACACAAGTAATGAATAAGAAGGACAGGAAAGCCACAGCTATATTTTTTCTATTTTCTGGCATATAACATATTCAATATAAATATTAAAATGGCTCAAACATTGATTTGCACATGTGGATTTTTTGAACGACGTTTCTCAGATGCTTCCAAGTAGTTCACTGACAAGATGACCACATAGAAAATCTTGCCCATCATCAATCTGTATGTTTGCAGCATAAAAACATATACATTCCAGTTAATCACATTAGAAAACAAACAAAATCATTCCAATTACATTTACTGAAATTCCCATAAAGTGACAGTGATACTGATTTGTGATAAGTATCACTGGGGAAGTCCTCCCTACAAGACATCTAAAAATTCATATTTGAATATAGTTCAGGTAATGTAGCCACAAATCACAAACCAGTGTTTAAAAACATGTTATTCACCAGCGTAAGTAATACAGAATTTATCCACACAGATTCACCTTCATAAAATAATCCCCACCAATTACTCTGAAAAATCAATGCAGTGACAAAGAATTTCAGCCACTTTTGTTTCTCCACTATATACCTGGTAATCTAAGCAGACCTGGTCACTGAGGAAAGACCAGATAACTTACAGGCTCTCTACTAAATTTAGAAGCACCAATTATAAATAAATAAACCTCATTTTAACTTTGGGATAAAATTTCCAGTTCTTTTTGTCAAAGTAAAAAACCTGTTACAGCAGCCACTGGAGGGAGGACTTGATATTAAAATGAGGATGAAACAAGCACACAGAATTTTATGTATTGTTTACAAGAATAGAGCATTCCACTGAAACACTCACTGATATTTGTTTAAATGACAAACAGAAGAAATTAGATGAGAGGGCTGGATTTCCTTTCTTTCACAAATAGATGTTGAATGCGCTGGAGTCTGATGGTCCAGAAACAAACAGTGGAAACATTACAGAGCTCCCTGAATACTTACTTACTCAGTGCAGCTAATTAGATGTTTTATAAAGGATCATCTTTTATTTGTTTGTTCCAGTAGCTAAGACAAGCACATGATCTAAAGACAACAGTTATTATTTTCATGAGAAGTTATTTTCCAAGTATCATGCCTTTGCAATCAAACTTCAGTGATCTATCAGAAAATATATTACACGTATTCTTCAACCTCCATGTCTAGCAATACTGAATATCATTTTGCATCATAAATATTTTGGCTTCGCATGGGACAGGAAGCATTTTCACCAGAACCCTACTAATATAACTGGTGAATTCACAAACAAATGATCACCGAGTTTGAAAACAACAAACAAAACAGACATTTCACTCTTATGGTAAGATGTACACATATTTCATGTTCTTTTTCGTGAAGAAGTACCGGAAACTTGGACCTTGACAGTGCTTGATTTGAAAATGAGCAGTATCAAAGTATATGTTCTATTGTATTCTGACTCTGAAACAATGCACACAAACAGATTTTTAGAGACTTGTTTTTTTCCAAGATGCAAATCCAGCTAGAAATGCAGCAAAAAAACCCAACACTTTGTATAAGATTTTGCCCTACATTAGCAATGGTTGAAATAAAGTCAATGTACAAAGTACAAATATTCCAAGTAAAGGACATAAATAATCGCAATGCTAACCCATTAAAAGTGCACCACAGAAGAAAACACTGGCACTATCAGGCAGCAAAAATCTATATAGTTTATCTGAATATGAGTCACAAGAATGCCTGGTTACAATGCTTTATTAGAAGACAGCTGAATTAGTCTTGCTTTTTGTAAACCGACATTCTAAGCAAAGGACAAGTAGGGATTAGACTAGTGCAGTGTTCCTGCTAAGACCCAGTTTTACTTGAAATAGATATCTGGATGACAGCTAGGTTCTTCGTTCTTTCTCTGTATAGGCTCAGAAAAAACACTAAATACATTTTGTAATCTGTAGTTGATTTTTTGTTTGTCTAATTCTATTTTATCCCTGTTTATAGGACATGACATTCAACATCAATAACGTTGCTTCAATTAACATTATATTTCACTTTCTTCTACTTATAAAGACCTTATTTTCTTACAGGTTTCCCACACTTTAGCTCTGAAGGACAATTATTTCCAGTCTGCTTTAGGCTAAATGGTTTTGAGTAGGTTCAGCTAAAATGTCAACATCTTGTATATGAAGAAAGTTCAGAGACAGTATCTTTTACTCAGTTTTGCTGTTAATGAGCAGCTACGGCATCTCCATGTTGCGGAGATCAGAAACTTTGCCAGAGGATCAGTTTAGCATGCAGCACGTGCCTCTTCCTTCTCCTCTTAGAGCCTGCCCAGATCTGCACAAGTAAAACTTGCTTTTCGCACACATTTATTACAGACTTATTAAGACTTATCAGGATTTCTAGAAAATTTACCTATTTGCCTAGAGCCCACTCCATACAGTTGCAAAAAACCAGAGGGAGGGACACACAGGAGGAGAGCAATAAGTGCTGGAAGAGCAGGTTCTTTTACCACTTTAGTACAAAGAAATTGGCAAGGATCCCCAAGTCCCTGAATCTTGGTACATCTTCACATTCTAACAAATGGTGGTGGGATTTGCTGATAAAGTACAAGACTGCAGCTGCCACTACAGGTTGGTTTATTTTCACACGATTTACCTTCTAATATTATTTACCCCTTAAGCTCAGTAGGCATTTTACTATGAACTATATGTACTAATGCCACAATCATGGCTGTTTACAAGGGACTGAGAGACTAACATGATGGTCTTATCATTAACCAGCAGAAGGTTCAAAATGAGCATCTAAGAATTTTCTGCAGCAGCAATACCAAATGCTTAACACAGTACTCTTTAAAGCACTGATTTTATATATATTTTAAGTGTGTACAGAACCCCATTTATTTGGTTGAGGCAGATGGGTACTGTCTACTGAATCACGCAAGTAATTCTGGAGAAAGAAAAAGCAACCCTGCAGTGGAGATGCAAGAACGGTGCCTAGGATAACTCTACTGAAAGAAAGAATGTGCTCTTAAACGACTCGGTTCCTGTCAAACGAAATGTTCTCAGATAATTTCTTCTCTCATTTTCTGGGTGTTCAATGTGAGCTGAATCCGCTTCAGTGCTCAGAAGCAGGAATTGCAAGATTCCAGTTTTAAAACCTGGAAGAATCTTCCCTATTTTTTTCAAGCTCAGCACTCCAGATGAGTCTATGCTGCTGAGCAGGGAATTAATTTCATGATCCCTCTTCTACCATCACCTACCACAAAAATGCCAGAGAATCCTCTACACACAGTAGATGATAGGGAAAATTAAAGGAATCAATGTTGATGAAGAACTACTATCCTGCAATTAAAGCCTCAAAAAAAGTCCATGTAACACGCAGCAATGTTATATGCAATATAAGATTTGCACTGTGTTGTTCCATGGTACACAGGACTACATATCAAGCAATGGGGACAAATAGCAATGTCGAAGAAACACAAATTTGGCAAACAGTTGTGTGTGAAATGGTCTTTAATTACAGAAC